TATTGTTTTGTACTAAGACTGAATTTACATATTTTCTCAAGTTAAATATCTTGGTTATTCATGTTTAGTGAGATTTAGGGAATACATTTTCATCTTGAGGTCTGGGGAGTTTTGTTGGTATTTTATTAACAGTCGATCGTAATAATTGCAGTGTTATTTGCAAAAATTTTAAACTAGCAGTGATTTGGTTTGGTATGTCATGGGGGTAGATGTTTAAAAAAGTTAACAAAGTCCTAGGAGAGATCCTTAAGGAATCAGAAAAAGATCAATATAATGATGTTATCCATATCAACACCAATGTATAATTCGGATTTTAACGAATAATATGATCAAGACATTTATTATTTAATAAAGCCGAAATGGCTTAATCACAAATTACATAAAAAATATTGCATTCATATTATATGCTGAGACACCTATGAGTTATATATTTTTTAGACATTATCACGACATTTACCAACAAACCAAAAAGTACCAGGGTTTACATATTTTACTAAATCTAATTATAATTAAATAATAATGCCTAAGCAGTAAAATAAATCATTCAAAATATGAAGTAAAACTATTTTTTGTTACGAAATAAATTTTAATACGCCATAAATTAAATTAACTACGGTAAAGAAATTAATTTCACCGCCTTGAATCTTTTGATGTATTTATTAAATGGTTCAAGAATATTGTTCCAAATTTCATATGCGTAATACCAATTCTAGTTTATAAATGTCAAAATATAATGAAACTATTTTATGGTTGGTGTCGAGTTGATTGTATTTTAAATTTTTAAATGTATCGTTGTTTTTTTTTTAACGCTTCATTATTAAATGTATAACATAAAAATACTACTCAACAATCTTAACTTGCATTAGAATATTTTTTACTTCATCTAGCTACTGATTTTTATTTAAAAACAAACCAATTTTTTTACCTAGGTATGCTTTTTTTCTTCATATACTGACACATTGGGTAAACACAGATAAAAAAACTGTGATATACTATACATGTGTATAAAATATAGATTAAAAAAAACTAGCAGGTATATTTGTCATAATATCCAAAACTCACACGAAAATTTAAAAAGACTACTCGTGACCATGCAAACGAAGAATGGTTAAGTGCTCGACCGTCGCATAAGTGATTGATCGTAACTGTAAATTAAACAATTTTTTTTTTAATTATTTGGTGTTTATAACTGAATATTTACAAAGTCAATAATAAATGCCTTATTTTACTTGTGACTTGTGAGTATAATCAGTTTTGAGTATTATCAGCTAATATTTTACGGAATTTATTTGATTAATTTATAGTCATTGTTTAGTTAATTTCCGAGTGGAAATGTCATTAAAAAAAAAAAATTACAAACAGTTTGTTATTCTCTGATGAAAGCACATATTATTTTTGTCGAGTATCATGTTGAAAACTCATAAACGTGTAAAAAAAAAATACAATGCTTATGTTATGCTTATAGTCTCGAATAATCGGGAAAAAGTTTTTAATTCTTAGAAACAGCGTAGAACTGCAGACAAAAGCATTTTTCTTTACACCGTCACTACAATTTCGTTAGTCGTCATTCTTCACCTCAGGTCGAAAAAAAAATAAATTGAAAAACATAATTTAATAACCCGAGTACCTATTCGGTCTAGCAAAAATCAACGGTTCGACGCCAAAATATATTAAAAACAAAATATTACATCAGCAAGATGTATCCGGTGTAAGTAAATAACATTATATATATATATTATAAATTTTACCCGAGAAAACGCATTTCGTAAGATACTTTGAGCACAATGCACACAGCATAAAATAAATAATATCATCGTCGATAGTTAAGAGTCGTTATAATTATATTCTCACGCGTGATTATGACGAACTTATTAAGTTTCGGGTAATCGTTGTGTAATTAAACAAACCATAAAACGCGCATATATATTATGCTAATACTATAAATTATGGAGAGTTAAACGCGAATTCCACGAAATCGAATATCGTTCAAAATGTTATCAAAACGATGGTACGCGCATATATCAAATACAAATTATAATAATAATGTTAATAAATAATAATAATAATAAAATAGTACTGTTTTACATAAATCGATCATTAATAAAATCAATTGTGCTTTTAGCTTACCCAAGTTCAAATTATAGCGTCAGCGCTGTAATGTTCTTTACAGTTATATATAATATATACGACTAATGATTGATATTATTTTTTCTTGAAGACAGAGAGAGAAAAAATAATATTTAATTAGAGTCCGGAGTCGTAGATCATTCGAGATGGTACATATTAAATCGTGGAGATAGCGTACAAGAGAAGACTGAAAAAACATTCGAGAAATTTGAAAGAAAAAAAAACTAAATATATAAATCTCAAAAATGAATATCATATGTGTGTATCTATACAGAGCAAGAGTAATATTATAAATCCGCTGTACGTATTAGATTCGGATTAAAGTTGTGAACTTCTACTAAKTTTATGTGCATTATAGTACGATTACTACGATTTATTTTTTCGATTACTGCAGTTGACACACTCCTTGCGCACGTTCTTACTTTAATCACTCGATATAATATACATGATACGCTTAATACAGGGTGTGAGTCACAAACCAAATTCTCACTCTAGAATTTTCTTTAAATTGTGAAATAATTCTAATTTTGATTTTTGAACATGTTATACTTGATCACCATTATTTAAAATCCTTAAATTGTTAATACCATTTAAGGATGATATAATATTTTTTTTTTTCAAATGTTATATCTGTTATAATGTTATAAATGTTTATGAGTATAATTAAGACTTTACTATTTAAAATATTTATTTATTTACAATTTTTTTTTTTTACACTAATTCATATTATGGTATGCCTTGTCCCACATATTCGAAAAATGTTATTGCCGGAAAATATTAATTATAAATACATACATATTATTATGCACATATTATGGCGATAAGGTAATTCTCAAGCCCGTTCGGATTACCGCGTCTTTCGGATTGGACTGTGTTCGGATTATCGAGACCCTACTGTAATAATAGTATATTAGGAGTATTATAAATTCAATGCAGTACATTTGTTATTGTTTTACATGAAAACGATCAGTATACTTAATTACTTATACTTATTTGTTATTGTAATTCATATTTGCCGATGATAGCGTGAAATTCGACCAAATGCAATCAACTGCATATGTTGATAAATATATCACGATTCGTGGAAATCTGCAGCTAATCAAAATAGCAGGCGTCAACGTAAATAAATATTTAACTACAATTAAGTACCATGAAACTGCCGACGTAGAATAATACAATAATTTTTAACGGTTCCACTGGAAATGAATACGCATGTTGTTTTAACGGTGATATGTAAATATTACAAATATCCGATACTATATTATAATATAATACAATTTAATAGTTGCTACGTTATATAGCTGTGATTTATGAATAGTGCAAATTTTGTTGGGAATCGAATACAGCAGAGATCGTTAAAATAGCCGATCGCTTTTAATTGATGGTCTATGCATTCCGATGTGCAGATAATAGTAATCTAAACCATAATCTCCGTCCTCTGATCATATTTAATGATATGATAACTAAAATAATTATTCTTTTTGGGCGAGTATAAATAATTATGGGAGTTAAACGAGTGATGATTAACGTCATGGTCCTACGAGCAAACATTTCGATCTACGTAAATGAGGTATATCGGGTAAGTATAAAGCATGTATCGAGTAAGCACTTGGAACTATAATGTACAATAATATTATATACAACCATATATTTGTATATGTACCTATCTATATATTTATATTTATAAAAACGCTTATTAAAAACGAAGTTCAGAAAACTTTTGTAGTTTTCTGAAAATCTGATAATTAGCGAGAACACAAAACGTTGAGTAAAATATATTGTTACACAACGCTAAATAATATAATGGACACTATAATACCACTTAAAATCTGGCCGGAAAAAAAAACATCGACGGGCATACAATAAGAACTCACGCAATCGTCCGATTTAAACGACAGTGTCAGCGTTAAAAATAGATCATCTCTTCGGGTACAATAATATATGTGCACATACAGTCGCGCATACGTAATGACGTGTGCGAGTACATCATTTAGATTGTAGGTAATTATAAACGCACGTGACTTGTATTCGCGATAAATACCGTTCGCGGGTCTATATTACAATGTTTAACTCGTGGCAAACGAGGGGAGTAATTTGCGACTCGGAGGAGGTTAAAACGAGTAGTTATTATTTCTAGCACAACGCACGTATACGCGACATGATAATATATTAATACAAATAAGCATCGTCTCGTTCGTAATATTATAATATACGAATAATATATATATATATATATATATATACACTCGGCGTACGCCTTGTCACGCTCGGTGCATGAGGACCGACTGTGGAGAACTCGGGTAACATACTTTGAACCACGGCGTGTTTTACGGGGGCCCATTGACTCCCCGAACCAGTGCTTCTCCAACAATAGCCCAAAGACCATAAGAAGCTTGCATTTTTATCGAAAGGGTTCGATAATTTATTATTATTATTGTTTATCATTGTTGTCGGTTAATATTGTTCTTATTACGGTGTCCGCAATCGTTTTTAAAATACTTTAATGGTCTGACGGATGAAAATTTTAGAAAACACTGCCCTAGATAACTAATTTGAATTCGTAGAATTCCTTGGTCAAACTGGTCACTTCGTATTTATAAAAATGAATTAACAATTATTTTAAATTGATTGTATATTATATTTAAAAATCATTATACGAGTATATTTTTAAGTCGATGACGACACCAAAACATATAATATAGGCACTTATTGATTTAATTTGGTACAGTATCAATCGGCAAACTATTTGAGTGTTAAAATATTTAAAACTAAATCAATTCGACTTTTAGCACGCCTTGCAGAATCGCGTTCAACTTATTTCCGTAATATTGCAGTTTATGGAGAAAAAAAAAATATTATTCAGCAACACTCACCGGTGACAGAGCATCAGCGGATCCGACTGTGGTGTCGGTGCCCGTCTGCTGCAGGAAAGTCTCGTACTTGTCGAGGGCCGTGAGCCGGTGCAACAGCGTCTGAAGCATCGCGGAGACCTGGTGCCGGACTGCCGGTTCGACGGACACGCACTGATGCGTGATCTCCCTGACGTGCGCCATGACCCGTTCGTCACGGAAGTCGTACGGAAACTTGTCCGTCCACTCGGCCAACAGTTGCACCAACCGTGGCACGAACCGCGACAGCTGATCCTGTAGGAGAGAACCAAACAAAACATAAATAACTAACACTTACATTTACGAGCTCGAAGTTAAATTTTAATGAAATTGGTAAAATTCATTGATTTAATTTAAATTTTCTGTATGCAAGGTTGAAAATAGGTAATATTGTTTTAGTTAATCATTATTATATTGACTGCTTTCCGATCTGATATTAATTAATACTACAATAAAATGTATCTTTACAAAATGTATACCTATTATTTATATTATAAATGATAATTATAATATATGTAATTATATATTCCATTTAAAATTGTAAATTCATTGAAACGTCAAATATAGGACGTAAGTATACCTATACAGCTACACTCTATATTTTCATATTGTTTATACATTTTCTTTCAATATTTTACTTCTATATAATTATTATATAATGAGGTGATAACTGTTAAGTAACTTACGGACATGGAAATTTCCATATATATCATAATTTTTTTCTTGTGTTAACTTAAAAATTTCCAAGAAAACGGGTGTTGAGTATATATTTAAAAAAAATCCTCCTTGTATAATAATAATATTTAAGCGACGAAAGCAGCAGCGACGACTCGTCCAGAATCTCTGTCTACGGCAAAAAACATTCCAAAATATTTCACTGCCTTTACCGAAGAGAAGACATTATTTAAGCACACAATACTGTGCAGTATTTAAATTACTCGAGTGCAAGATTCGTATTATACTATACTATAATAATTGTACAGAGCAACGCGACGACAATGAGTTATACTTGAGCGGTAAAAATAAGATAATAATTCTTCTTTCTATGCATTATTGTACGAACGACGCCTAAAACTTAATAAGAATAATTAGTAGGTAAATATTTCGAAAACGTTATCATATCTGTCATTGCTATTATATTATATCGTGTAATAAATTGTACGTCTTTTTCATATTTTATAACGACAAAATCTTCTACGCATGACAACAGAAAATATAATGTGATACCTAGTTAATAAAAAATATGACAACGATGTTCGACTGTATACACAAAAAGTAACTCAGTAATTCTTAAACACGGCGTTTTCAATGAACTCGCTAATTATTGTGATATTATCACGACTGCTATTTCCAAAGATAAAAAAATTAAAAACAAAAACTGGAAATAAATATCAATGGTATTTAAATTGTATTGATACAAACTTAAATACAAAAGATAAATTAGTTTATATTGAAACATATTGTATAACACTATGCATAATCTATTAGTTCAGACGTTGAACATTTAGTATCAACTACACAATACACGTGTTATGTTAATAATATATATCAATTAAGTTATTTGGTGTATTAAAGTAATATAATGTGAGTGTGTCCTTCTTTAACTCAAAATAAAATTTATTTTAAATGTTATCAAAATAGATATTGAAGTACGTATTAAAGAGTAGGTCAAAGGTTAAATTTATTATAAACTGCAGCAATCGCAGAAAACATCATGGTTCGGAAATAGTACGATGCCACAGTAATATTGCACTTAAAGGTTCATTTTCTAGAATGTTCAAGTTTTAAATCGGTAATAATAATTAAACAACATTTTTATTTTTATTAATGATCATACATAAATATAGAATGTAAAACCAAAAATTCTATTGAGTTGCAATTTATCTGAAGAGAACATTTTATTATTACACGTGTAGCAGAACGGCTGTTTACTCAATTATATATATTTATTTCATAAGCTTAAGTTGACGCGGGTGATAATAAACAAAAATGTCAAATAACAACAATTCGATGTTTGTATTTTATGTTATTATTAATAAATTGTCTTTACATTGTTCGTATTAAATTAGAAAATGTTTTTCTTTTGAAATTTGAAATTGTAAAGTTATTCTTATTTCACGTTTTATAAGTTATAACTAAAATATCACGATTCCATAATTTAGGGAATATAATATTTCATTCATATTGACATTAGAGCAAACACGATTACAGACATTGAATAGGTGTTAAAATAAAAGCATGTGATCACATTTGTGTTTTAAAACAGGTCAACAAGTCTTAAAATATAATAATGACAAAGATAATAATATTATCATTATGGTATACTAAGGTATACCGGCAAATCGCAACACACACCAATTATCGTGTACCTGATTTGCCTATTCCAAACGCCGTGTTACYATTTAATTTTAATTTATGTTATTAATCTCATAAAATAACCCAAAATATATAAATAAATAATTAATACGAAGTAAAGAATGCGCCATATAAAAACAAAGTGTAAATTGAAAAATTTTAACAAGCAATTACTCAAAATTATGAATATTTTATACTCTATAAAATAAAATATGAATTGAAAATGTATAATTTTCAATAAATATACACCATTGGAATTTATCATTACACGAAAAAATTAAAATTGTTTATTTTTTTTTATAAAATGAAAACTAATTGCGAAAAAACTAGTCAGTAAAGTTGATTATATAATGCATACTTAAAAATGTAATTTTTAAATCATGATTATAGCTAATTAGTTTTCAGTTTTGTTTTCGTTTATTATAATTATAATTTATATTTTAAATTATTACTATACGATATACCATCCCATATTATATTATCATAATAGGAGTTGACAGATTTAATGGATATCATAAAAGTTTATTGAATTTCGAACTATAGGTATAAATAATCCATATAGACTTTATTATCATAGTTTGTAATTTATTATTATTAGTACTATAAACCTATCGAAACAATACGGTATAATTAACCTGAGATTATCTTTGGATATTTGCGTGTATATTATAGGATACATAATAAATATTAAATTTTTATAATTATGGCACTATTGGCACTTGCCTTGTGTTGAGGGTTTAGGGCGGCCGAAACTTGATCTCCGAGCCTTTGCTGTGCATGACACACGGCCACGACTTTGGCGAGCAGCTCGTGGGGCTTCACAAACAGCCGTGAGCTGAGAATGAACGCGAATAGGTACGCTTGGTCCGGGTAATAGTCAGTGGTGGGTACCAAATGCTGGATCAGACTGGACAACGGGCCGGACAACAAAATACCGTCTCTGTAGACAAGAGTCTGAAAAATATGAAAACACAATAACAATCAGTAAAATAAGCACGAAAAAAATGTATTACAATACATGAGTATAATAACAAGGTATATATATTATAGAGCTAAAGGTTTACCAAAAATGCTCATTACCATTTATATCTTTTAACAATGAATTTATTTAATTTTGTAGCTTTTATGTATTCGTAAGGATTATAGTAAGTATCACATTTTTTTATACAGTTTAAAGAGTGCCCTGAGGCAATACACACTACTTTTTTTTAAACGAGAATAAACTTTTTGAAAATGTTATTTATATTACTATAATTATTACAAAATATCGTCTAAATTCCATGTCACTGCAAAATCAATTTTGACGTGATTCCAACGAGAATAAAGTAACGAAGAAATTTGGCAATGACCGCGTATGACAACACGTGGACTTTGTGTATTTTATACATGTCCGATCGAGCATAAAGCCGCGATAATGTTCAAACGAGCGCGCTGACTTTATAAGGATATAATATTGATAAAATTATACTGTGAACCACGATAAAAGCCAATGATAAACGTTACCGCGACCATAGTTAAGGATATATTATATTATAAATAACGATATAACCCATGTTACCAATCGCATTATGTTATATTTTATAATTAATATTCGTATTACCCAACTCGTACATCGGTAATGTAAGTTGTAATATTATTTACAGTTTTCCACTTTTTTTTTTTATTTGGAACTTGTCAATATGATTAGATGTAACTCATGCGATGTTGTCTAGCTAATCATATTATACATCATGATGTATTATAGACAACCGTCGTATAAAACATACTTTTACGTCAAGATTTTTTTTATTTCTAAATTATTTATTATTGTGCGTATAAAGATTTTTTCTTTCTCGAAAGTCATCTTAAAATTGCACTAATGTTATTAAGTAGGTATACGTGTCAAATATAACAAAGCTTTATACTTGTCATTAATAACGTGGAGTACTATGTATAAAAATATATATAATATATATATATTTATACATTTAAATACGTATATAGAGTGCGTAATTTATGATATCGGACTTTGTGAAAAATAAAAGATTTAATGGCCAAAAAATTGGAAATCGAGAGATAGTTAAAAAGAAACAATTTTAAATAAATGTCACGTTCCGCAGAGAAAAAACAACGTTGCAATGAAATTTTACCGCAAATTCTGTAGTTGGATAGTAGCTATATAGAGCCATTATCACCGTTGAACAACTTTTATAAATCATTTTTATGTTCGAAGTTCAAAAAAAAAAAAAAAACGACGAATTCATGAATGTCAAATGAACTTCCTTACGTGGCTATAAAACATATTATGATAGAGCATCACGCATGACATATTTTCATGCTAAAAAAATTCAGTCTTAATCACATTAAACGCTGGCACAATAAATTATACATCAGACAAATACATTTCAGTATAACACAAATTCTATAATGCAATAAATATGATATAATATTTAAATACTCGGAAAATCTTTTCGTTTAATACGAGACAAATATATTAATTTAAAACGCGCCTAATCAGTTATAAGACGCAACGCCTCGACGATCAACAATAGAACGGACTTAAGACCATATATCGTTACTACAAATAGCAAAATATTATCCGAACTTCTAAAATATTCGTATAGCTGCTAAAACGGTAGATGTTTTTTTTTAATTTTTTTTTTTATGCGAAATGAATATAAAATAAGCTCAAATTATATTATAATACGCTTATAGTAAATTCCAAAATAATAGTATTAGACGTCGGAAAGTTTTATGATTTGATGAGAGTGGGATAAATGGTTATTATACAATATTATGTTGAACATGTTTGCTTGGCGGACTCGAAACGATCAAAAACACAGCAAAGTTTAAAACTCATTCGTTCACTTCAGCCGCAATCGCATTTGCGACGATCAACTTTCAATATGCGTCAACGGTGAATGACTAAAAAAAAACACGACAAAGTTTTATCCTTATGACAGCCACAAATAACGATCGAATGATGCACTTCCGAGCATGCACATCAACGACGGACGGGAAAAACTTGTTAAACAAATAGAGTAAATAATAATAAGACACGGAATAATTATAGACACGCGTAGTGTGACTATACGATTTTTCGACGAAACCACAAAGTCTCGATAAATTGAATTTAAAAACAATTTAATGTATTTTTAGAATCATAATAATATAATAATATTTGAAGGTTTTTTTTTTTAATACGATTAAATTCTAGTAAGCTATACTAAATATTATACTTAATTGGAGTGTACGCTGTTTTGATATGAAGTCTTCAAGTCTTTATAGACACTTGAAAAGCATGTCATCACATCAGCTACTATGTAACCAGAAATGTATGCTTAAAAGACATCGAATGGCGCGTTAGAATTTTATTTAGCGGAATGACGTATTTATACATCCTTAGTCAAGAGAAAACCCACAGTGGGAAGAGCCAATTCCCCTCATTAAAACTCAAACCACATAATTACATACAAATTTTTTTCAAAAAAAATTTCAACTAATTATTTAAATATAAACGTCTGTTCCGTATAGGTTGATTGAGTGGACCGTATATCGGTAGCTGCTAGGAGATTTTGATACGGAGTAGATATGCGGTATGCGTTTATACCACGCAAGTCTGCCCGCGGTGGGTCTTGCTACGGAGCAGATAGGATACTAAGCTTCTTCGCGCTCCGCACTCGTATTTATAGCCCACTCCGAATGGTTCGAGTGAGCATGTTTGTAGGTATGGTGTACCTTATTGCGATCAGTGCCGCTTATGATCGGTCTGATCCATACTCTACAATAATACATAGATCCGGCCGGTACAGCTGGCGGGAGGTGGGTAGCTCAACTGTACGCCTCCCGACGTCGAACGTGCCCTCATTGCAGCGTTTTTTTTTCGCGACGATCGACCAGTCAGAGTGCCGACTGACTGCGTATTCCGAATATCATGCTATTATGCAACGTATTTTGGACAATGGCCCCAAGAATAACACACATAAATAACATACCCGATAAATCCATTACAACAAACAAAAGACCGTGATAACATCAAGGACAATACTTCGCGATGCGCGAACAAGGTCATTGAAAAAACGTACATTGCCTGTGAGTGCAGCTGAAAGAAGATTTTCTACTATTATACGGGTAAAACCTTGGCATCGTTTCAGGATGCAAGATGATCGACTAACTTAATTATGTCTGTTGTGTGTTCTCAGAGAAATCAGCTCTATAATCAAGGTTATGGTCTATAATACTAAAACTAGTAGAATAATTCAATTTGAAAATCATAACTATTAAACTAGTTTAGATATTTGTAATTTAATAAATAACTTGGATCCTGAATATCTTAAATAAATAAAAGTACACGATGTACGATAATTATTAGATTTCTCTTTTTTTTTATTATTATTATTTTATCAAACTTATTTAAAATAATACAAAATAATTAGAATTGTAAGCAAATTTGATAGCTAATAATTTGACAAAAGATTATTATTTATGGACAGGCCATCAGAAATACCAACCGATCTCGTTGATAAATTAAAAAATATTTTATTTTATTAAAACATATCCAAGATAAAAATATTTTGTGATAATAGGTAAGACGATGATGATAATATTGCTACGTACGATTGTATTTTCCTATGCGTGAACTTTTATCTCTCTTTAAACCCGTTATAAGGATACAGTTTGAGATATACGATATACCTGAAGTTGTTACCGACCAGGAAGAGTTATCTGAACATAATTATTTTTACTTTCGCGAAAGAAATTTAAGTAATCGAAACTCGATACACATAAACATATATTAGACAGACTTCTTCATAACTTCCGACGAGTGAGTTGACGATAAGGCGAATGAAATGAAATTGGAAAAACGAAAATCTAAAAGAATTCGAATTGGTAAGCGGGAGTGGCATGGCGTATATTATATATATACAGGTAATATGTGTGTGAGTAAGATGGCCGGTTAGATGTTCGCGTAGACATGAATAATGGCCGACGTGATTCCCAGATTGGACATTATCGTCCGTCGACGACAATGATGGTGGTATTTAGAGGTTAAGTGGACCACCGGATATCCGTGACCCTAGATACTATATATCCGATGACCTGATGACAGTTTTTACGAAAAGTTATAAACGCGCGTGCGCGTGTGTGTGTGCGCGCGCACAAGTGAGCGAGTGTAATTCTCGAGAGTAGCATTTGTCTTCTTTACGTGAGCTTTATACTGGGCCACCTAAATAACTGCGAGACCCCGGCCACATACACAATATGAATGAGGGGCGGTTTTTTCTAGTTTATACAATTTTCTTTCAACGACTATCGAATCGTTCTTATTCCAAAAKACCGACTTGAACGATTTCCATATGTATATAATGCGTCATTGGCAAGTTGTAAATTAAAATTAATTATTTATTTTCCATTCAAACCTTACACGTGTCAAATTTTTTTATATTTTTGAGCGTTGCATACGAGGAGTGAGGTCCACATTTTTGGTTTACTGCTAATACATCCCGTACTCAAAATTAGCAAAAGTTTGTAGTTCGACTAGGAAACGGAAGTTTCGCGTTGAGGTATCACCCTGTTCTGACGCCAGTGTCTGTCTGATAGACATGCGCTTGCGGTGAGAGCGGAGTCGATGGTGCCAAAACGGGCGCTAAGTTCTTTGACTGACGAGATGTACCGTAAGCCTATAAAGGGCTGGTACCTACTTGTGTTATGGCTATTAAATTATATATCACTAAAGTTAACATAATCACAGTCAAGACTTATGTCATTAACCTGCAAATAGTCTTTATTGCTCCCGATTTGAGAGCGAGGTCGTGATTAAGAACCGAATTAACTTCACCAAAAGATGAACCACATAGGAGGCATAGCTGTACTTAATATATTATCACTGATAAATAATGATAAATTATCAAGATTGAATAATTATTAATCTAAAGCATGCAAAACAAACAAATCTAAAGTTTTGCACGTAATAA